TGGAGAACTTATGTCGATTAAAAAGATATCCAATGACATTTGTTTGAGCACAGATTTTATCAGAAATATCCAGCGAAATAACTTGATCGGAATGAAAGGTCAAGTGATGAGACAGAAATTCAATTTGACGACGACAATATTCAGTATCAATAATTACATGAAGACGAGTTAATTTTAAAATAGATGAAATACGTGAATTAAGAGAAGCAAATGCCAAGAACAAATCGAATGCATTTAAATAATCGAAGATCTCACAAAATATTTCGTTCGATACATCTTCCAATAGAGTAGAGTTAGCCATTGCAGTGACTGACGAAATGACGTACATATATATAAAATATACAAAGAATAGAGTATATGACTGTGTAATTGATCAATCGACCAATAAATAAAACAGCCATTGTATGTATGTCCGACGTCATCCGTCCATTCCACTACATTTTGGATGGTTAGACAAAATAAAGGAAAAAAATAAAGCGAGCATTTTTTTGTCTAATGGGGTCAATCTGGGTGTGGGTGTCAAGTCTTTCTTAACCTACACCCACACCCACACCCACACACCCACATCCCACACCCATACCCACACCCACCCACACCCAATTCAAATACTATCTATTTGCTTCTTATACAATGCTGCCTGGAGTCCGGTTACGACCTTGATGCTAATTGTATTTTTCTCACCAATACAACAGCCGATTCTGAGTGTGGATGTGGGTATGAGGGTAGGTTGATATGCGGTGTGGACGCAAGGAAATCAACAAACACATCCTACACCGGCACCCAAATTCATATACCCATCATTCACGATATTGAATATAAAATTATTCTAAACAGGAAGACTGAACTTTGAGAGTTATATATAACATCAAACTTGTCTAATACAACGAGTGACTAATTTGTCATTTTGTTGTGATTTAAAATATGAGGAGAAATTATATTTTAATATTGCCAGTTGTTTTTCACATTCTACGATGCATAGAAAGTATTATTTTTAATAGCATGAAAATTTTATTTTTATAATATACGGATATAGACTAAGTTCAGCAAACTAGTTCATTGTTTTTGTTTTTCCATTATTACTAAAACTACAACGACTATTACGAATATGACTACAATTACACAACACAATTTACGGCAGTATCCTGTCTTGGTTTCAATTTGTTCTTGTTCTAGAGCTGTATCTTGTTCATTTATATCAATTGTTATTTCATTTATTGGATTTTGAACAACCGGAAAATATCGCAGAGTGTCGCTATAGTTGTCTGAATGTATCCATGCATCTTGAGCTTTTCGATAGAGAATTTCATTAATCGACTTGCTCGGTGGATCCATCTTTGGTTTGTCAAATTTCATCATCCACTCTGGGTATGTTTGGCAATACTTGTCTCTAAGTCGCATAATGGACGTTAAATTAATATTTTCACCAGTTTTGCGCGCATCAATTGCTCGGGCGAAGAGCAGAGCACATTCTTCACATTCTTTCGAAAGTGTACCATCGAGATGTTTGTCGGCAATCACCGAATGTGTATTAGCAATAATACCGGGAGCTGTATCTGTGAATGTATCAAGCACATGATCTACTATGAGTTCATTTGTTATTTGATTGACACAAGATTTCTTTGCCGATGGATACAATAATGGTTTAACAACTTCTTCGATATAAAACTCATCACCCCAATAAACCCAATACTGATCACCATCAAGATCAGCTCCAGCCATCTCATTGAAACTAGGTCGATAGCCATTAGTAGAAAATACAATACAATCGCGTATACAAGACTGAAGTTTTGGTACATATACAGCTTTAAGTTTACGGATGTCTCCTGGATGAAGACATGGATTTTTAGTAACTAATACAGTACCTATGATTACAATATAAACATGACTCAATTAGTAAATAAAATTACGAAGTATGAATATTATACCTGTATGTACAATATATTTTTCGGAAGTAGACGAATTCTCGAGGCTGCGATACTGAATGAAACATTCTCCTGGTTTTAATGTACTAGTTTCATCGGCTATGCCGAACAGACATCGAGCCTCATTTACAGGCAATGGAATTTTATTACGAATAAGAAAGTTTTTTCTACAAATCTCAACAACATAGACATTATTATCAATGTAATTTCACACATAAACTTACGCATTTTTATATTTTTGTCGATTTTCATTTATTACTGATTGATCCAGAGACTCTAATGCATTCAAATAACATTTTGCTGGTGGATGCCAAAACTCTTTCCGATCAATACAACGCATTTGAATAGATTCAAATACACCATTACTATTGCCCAAATCACTCAATAATCGAATAACTTGATTATTCAAACTCAATGGCACTATAAATATTCAGAATAACAAATAATATGTTGAAAAACATTGATTTATTATTTACTAGGTCGAGAATGATCAACAACATAAAGAGTCCAATCATCACTTTCAAATTTCACCATACTCTTTCGAACTTTAATATAGAATTCATTTGATTTCGATTTAGGATCAATTGATAACATTCCTTTACATCCAGCTATTCGAACTTGAAAAGCCGATGGAATATCCGACTAAAATCTCATTATATAAAATTAAATTGATAAGGTATAACAAAAATAACCTTTTCGTTAACTTGAATTCCGATATTTTCCGCTATTTTTTTCGCTAGACCAAGAGATATTGTACCACATCCATCAGTGAAACAAAATTCATTACGTTCGATATCTGGAATAATAGTAGCCGTGTATTCTATTTTCTCAGTTTTAGATTTAAATAACTAAATAAAATAATTGCTGACAAGTGAATTGTTATATAGGTTTTTATCATACTAGGCGTCTGATTGCTGCTGTGAAGCGTGAGAATCTACTAAGTGTTCGTTCTGGGTGTGGTGTTTCAATAAAGTTGAGTTTAATCTAAATTTACAAAAAAGAGATTACCATAGTAAATAATCTTTCAGAAATATGATCAGAATGACAGTAGCGCATCATATTTTTTTTTCAGTTGAATATTGAAAATGTTGACCAACATGTTCAAAAAGAGCTAGGTTAAAATTTAAATATAGTAAAAGAGAGAAATGTAATAAATTACCCCAGGTGACTTTAATGTTGTTAGATATAGACCAACTCGTGCCATATAAGTAGATACATTGAGAATTTTTGACAGGTCTCCAATTCGTACACGTGCTGATTCCATAGTTGTTCCCTGAGGGAGTGATAGAAACCAACCAGCATGTTCATTCATTTGGCTGCCCGATGATCCAAAATATTGAAAGTAACGTTTATCGCGAAAAATACCTTTTATCATTAAATTTCTAAAACGTACTCGCATTTGAAGATCTAAATTATTAATTTTATCTATTCCATTATAATCACGTATGCGAACAAGTAACCAATTCTCCGGAGAATATAATTCAAATCCTCGATGACAACGTGTCATTTGCATCGGTTGATATTCAATACGATTTGGTGTTATAATTGCAAATGCCACTTGTTTTAAGTGTGATGACTCATCAGTAGCTCTATGATTTGTTTTTGAAGTTGCCTCATGCAATGCATCTCTAATTCGATAACAATGATTCTGTTTTAGATTACGCCAGATTGTACAAGATAAATCATATAATTTTTTATGTACAACATCAACTATGAATTGAGAATCAGCATTGTATTTATCTTGAAATAAATAACCCAATGACCAAAGCATTTCCATTCCATAAGAATCATAAGCAGAAGGATATGATGGCATACCTATAGGTGAAAAATTACTTGGATCTTTTTGCCAACGAAATAAAGCAAAATTGATATGAAATAAATCATCAGATGCTCTTCGAGTATAACCAGCTATTGGTAAGTTACGTAAGAATTTCCATGCTGCATTAGCCGGAAAAAATCGTACAAGTAAATCACTACATAGTGGAAGTTGTTTCATCAGTTGTGTGTGATTGCTAAAGATATAAATTAAATAGATAATTTTTGTTTATTTTTCACATTATTCTTGATGTTCAACGAATATCAAGATATTTTTAGGTTTCATAAGACACATGACAAGTTTTGTATCTTATCATCATTTTTTTTGTGAAATATGATCGAAAAAAGAGTTTTGAAGAGGAGCTGTAGAAATATGAATCGCGTTCATTCTATTACACATGATATACATCGTTATAAATATGTCTCTTTCATCACAGATCGTGATAAGCATTATTTATATATAATTATACATATTATTTAAATAAGGTCTTGCTGTAGAGTATGAACTACTTCTTTATTGGATTTCTTCAGAATTCAGTAGAAAGATAGCAAAGAAATCTATCCCAAAATGAATAGAATAGAACAACTTCTTTATAATAGTAAGAGCAACTAAATCGTGTTCTGTGTTTCAATTTTGCTGTTCTTAAATAATGATATCATATCAACGAATATTTCATTGATAGGAGTTTCCATATAATTGAAATATAATGAAGAAAAATCTAAAAAACAGTTGTATTTCGATCTTCAATTAGAATGTATTAGTATGCAGGAGTAATATTCAACGTGTTCAGATTTTTTTAAATATTTTTGATAAACTTAAACTTATTTTATTGTCAAACACTCGTTTACCTATATACTGATTTGTAATTAATTTACTATGATTCAGATAAAAAATGGGAAAATAGTGAATACTCATATAGTAACCTTGATCCGATTTATGAAAAATAACAAAATTTACCTCAAGATTTAGTTGTGAAATATATTTTATAATTAAAAACAAGTATCGTAGGAGAAAATTTTTTTTTTTTATCATGCCTACCATCATCCAACAATAAACAAAAACAACAACTCTGTATCACATTGACGCGTATTTATGTCGACTTATTTTTTGTTTGTTTGCTAAAGATTAACTTTAAAAAAAAGTTCAGAACAAATCAAGAATTTGAATGCGCAAAAATTTACGCCAATTTTTTTAAATAGAAAATATGGCCACAGTAATGACTTTGGGAATAAATCTATGACTACGTTAAAAGACCTAATTAAACTCCTTGTAAAAAAATTCAAAACTATTTTACCATTTTTTTCCTTCTTTTTTTTCGACGATCGGTGAGGATTTAAGCATGAAAATAATTTGAATTGAATTGTCATTCGTAGAGTGATTGATTAAAATCTGTGGATCTATGTTTTTGAATCGAATTGTTAGAAAATATGTTGTTGTTTCTAATTTAATTGCTTTAGGAAATTTTTGCACATAAATATTCGCAAGATTTCGTTCATCTCTATGTCCAATAAAAGTATCACATGAGAGCATGGCTCCAAAACTATAAACCACACGAATTTCATCACGAATTTCTTTTAAAATTTGACTACGATCTTCGATATCATCAAGTGCTTTTGTCTGAATATTAAGCCAAATTTGACGATGATCACTTGTCAAAATATCACACAAATGAAACCGTATAAAATATGCTAGTTTACGATCGTAACTGCTTGTTTGCTCGATATCAGATTGTTCTAATGGAATTGTTCGAATCGTTTTTGTCAATGCTAATTTAGCATTTATATTATTATAAATTGTACGAGCTGCTTTTGGATTTAATTGTAAGTTCTTGAAATGACATGGAACTCGATCATCTTCCGTGGACATCCTACTATAGATAAAATAAAGCAAAACTATGATCAATTGTTAATAGTATCACGACGCTTTGAATTATTCAAGCAAGCTAGATAGATTCGCAACAACTCGATCATTTCAAATGCTCGTTTTTGTCCTAACTTATCTATGAAAGTATTATCTATTTGAGGAAAATATTTTTCTATTGAATAAAAAAAATAGGGTCTAAGTATGAAGTGGGTACAGGGATTAGTCAGTGGCGTAGCCAATAATAATAATCTCCCATAGGCTTATCGCCCGTTGGGGTCAGCTGCGATTATTATTAGGATCCACATGCAACTGGTTTCTATCGTCTTTTTCTCTTTTACAGACGGCGGTATCTGCACCCCTTCCATCTAACGTACTGACTAACGATGTATTCAGCACGCTACGAATGAGTCATTCGAGACAACTTACCCGTTAATGACTTGTCCAGGGTCATTCCATGGATAGTGCTACTGAGGTTTGAACACAGCACCTTGTGGATACGTGTCGAACAACGTAACCACTCAACCATGGCGGCTTTGGCGTAGCCAAGGGACGGGCGAATGGGCAATTGCCCATCTCATTTGGAGATTTGCCCATTGTAATTTTTATGAGTAAGTTTTTGCCCATTGAAGTTTTACTTTTTCAGAATGGTTTATTTATTTTTGAATTAGATAGTAACTCTATTTTTATTCTTCCGTCTGAATCACACATGCACTTTTTTCTTGTTCTTTTCGTGAACAATTAAGAAAAGAAGAAGAGAAGAATTGCTTCTGGTATTTTAACTAGGATTTCCAGATGAAAAACTTGAAAACCAGAAATTCTTGTTTTCAA